CTTTACATAAAATGTAGACCTTGGTTCAACCTACATCATGTAGATTGTGCACACATGCATGCAAGTCCACATGTGCGCACTTCCACATACATATACAAAGCGCCTTCTTGTGATTCTTCTGACAACTAGCCTGTCACCAGCCTGCATTTCTGGAAACTTGGGCTGTGAGAGGACACAATGGGTCAGGACAGAGAAATAACATGTACAAATATTGGTGTTAACACAAAAATAAAGTTGCAAAAATCTTAAAACTGTCAGTTAATACTATTGTTCTGACATCTTTTTAGTTTTTCCCTTGTAAACTCAAAACACAACCCAGTGGAAAGTAAAGCATCTGGCGAGGCTTCACTTTGTACAGTAAAGGAGATGACTATAAATAGGCAGCTTAGGATTTCACTTGAGGTATAACTATACATGTGAAAAATTAAGATACTCTGTATATATTGACTACATTCCTTATCTGAAATAAACAGATATGTGCAAAATTAATGAACAATCACACATAAGCTATAATCCAAGCTGTATAAGAGTGGAGAAATAATATGTGAGAAGCTGACATAAAATTCCTCTTGTGTTTTTGTTTGTTTGCTTGGGTTTGTGCCTGAGAAAATTTAACATTATTTGAGAAAAAAGTTCAGGAGAAAGAGATACACAGTACTGAGTACACACATGCACACAAAACACACACACACACACACACATAGAAACACACACACACACATCTACATGTAACAACAGTTAATGAAGAAATGAAGCCATGAATTTGAAAGAGAGCAGGGGTTTGGAGTACATGTAAGGGTTTGTAGGGAGGAAAAGAAACAGAAAATGACAAAATCTCAAACAAGAAAAAATGCTAAAAATTATGTAGTTACAGTATACAATGGTACTAAGTGAGCATTCTCATATCAAAAATTATCTGTTGAAAATAAGACTGAAACTTAGCAAACACCAAACCATGTAGTTCCATGTCTGGCATCTTGGACATGGAATGGAATTGTCTAGGCTCCATAGAGCTTAGGCAGGTTTGCAACTCAGTTTATTTATTGCACCCTAATACATGGTTCATTTTATTTATTTGTTTACTTTTTATCTATTAATTTATTTAGGGTATACGTGTATGTGTGCATCCTTGTGCAAATATATATGTTTACATAGGCATGTAGAAACCAGAAGACATCTTAAGTGCCATTCTTCAGGCACTTCCCACTCTTATTTGTTGTGGGGAGGCCACTTGTTGGTTCCCAGCTGCTCAGCAGTTCAGTCCTGAAAAAAATCACATAGAAACCATATTATTTAAATCATTGTTTGGCCTATTAGCTCTAACTTCTTATTGGATAACTCTTACAACTTAATTTAACCCTTTTCTGGTATTTTATATGTTACCATTAGGTTTGTGGCCTATCAACAAGGTTCTAACTTCTGTCTCCAGAGGGGCCACAATGGCTTCTCCCTCTGACTCCACCTTCCTTCTGCCTTGCTATAGGCCAAGCCAGTTTCTTTATTCATTAATAAATAAAAACAACACATAGACAGAAGGACCTCCCACACAATTTCCCATTTTCTGTTTAAACAAAAACAAAGGCTTTAACTTTAACATAGTAAAATAATATATAACAACATAGTTAGCAAGCAAGAGTTACAGTTATAATATTTGTATCTACTTTCTATCTATTCTTTAACTCCATCAAAAACTCCAGAAAGATATAATATTACCTAAGTAAACAGGAAGTGCATTGTAAGCAACTTCCAAAACTCTAGAATTAACAGAGACACCTCACTGCCTGGACAGTCACCCAAAGTTCTTCTGTACCATTGGGACATCCATCTTCAGCCTACAGGCCTGTAGTATCCAGTAGACATTTCTATTAAGCAGGAAATTTCAAAGACAGTTCCACCTATATTGACAGTTTGTCAGTCACTTTCTTCTGTGTCTTGCAGAATGTCTAACAGACTCTTTTATGAAGCAGGAATCCCAAAGGATCATCTCACCTTTAGGCATGTTTAGCAGTCATTTCTCTGTGGGTCCTGCATGTCCAGTTAATCAAGTCGTCCAAGAAAAAGCAGTCTCTTGCCCAAATGGTTAACAGACTCCATAAGGAGCCTCTTCAGTGTCCATCTTCCTGTTGAAGTAATTGGTGCTGCCAGAAGCACATGTGTCTCACTGTCATAAAAGTCCTAAGTTCTTAAACATTTTAAATGCTATATTCTCTAGTATTTCAATGGCTTGAAGAACACCTATGTAATTGAAGTATATCTCTACATATCTAAAAATCCTAACTAACATGACTACAAGCTTGATCATTATAGATGATTATCTATTAACCTATATTTCTTAATTATACATAACATTTTTAAGTGAGCTGGACAATACCTTAATCAAGAGCAGAAATACATATACACAGTATAACAAATTTGACCTTAACTTTGTATCAATAAACCAGGATCCATACCAATGCAAATCTCTATAGCATATCATCCTTTAAATGAAAAGAAACATTTATAAACAATATTTGGGAATATACACATAGTTTTTCTTTAAACGGCTTCCTTCTTTTTGTTGGGTGAAATAATTTTGGGGGGTGTTTATGGTGACCTCTCAGGGGTACATGGTCCACCAAACCATATTAGTCTGGAAAGATTTTCCAGGTTCTCATCCTCTGTGGAAACAAAAGAAGAACCTCTTTTCCAAAGCAACATATTCTTATACTCAAATTTTGAAGACAAAATACCTTTAAAGTATATATGCTGGTTACTTAGCTCCGTCACAGTCAAAAAATTCAAAGGAGGCACAATAATATACATAATCCAGATTCTCTGTGTATAGTCCATTTTTACTTGGCTTCTTTTTATACTTTATTACTTTTTCAACAAGCTTAATATTTATTGTATTATCTTTACTACTTTGCTCTATTACTGTCTGTACTCTGTGTCTCAAAAGACTGTTTTATTTTTTAAACCATTTATTCCCTATAAAACTGTCTAAACTTTATTTTTTCATCTTTCTTCCAACGCTACATACATTTTTCCAACACTGTGACCCATTTAGAGGCCTTTTATGTCTGAATCTGTCCTATTTTGTATATGTAACTTTTTACTGTTTAGGAGCACTTTTAAAACACTAAGCACTTCTTAAAAACTGAAGCTGCAGCATTACTAGGATATATATGGCTCTGTCTGCTTGCTATACACAGCTCAACATGGTGGAAGTTCGTTCTCTGCCTCTGCAAGCCATGCACATTGCCCCAGTTCCAAGTATGCAGTGGCTCTATGTCAAGCCATTAAGCAGTTTGTAACATATTGCTCACAAAAACCATTTAAATGCTTGGTCTCCTTAAAGAGCCAGAGGTCACACTGGTAGGAAGGCCCAGAAAGCTGGCATTTTAAAGCCACATGGCTTTTTTTTCTGCTACTTCTTAGTCAGGAAAACCTCTCTTAAAAGAGTTGAGGCACACTGCCAGAAAACAGCAAGAAGCTGTATTAAACTCACTGTTTTTGTTTCTAGAATTCCTTTTCAACCTCTCTCAAGTTTTTAAGTGAATTTTTGTTGACCATGTGGGTGATAATTGGTTGTTGGGAGGTCTGCTTGTTGTTTTCCGGCTGCTCAGCAGCTCAGCCCTGAAATACTCACACAGAAACCATGTTATTTAAATCACTCCTTGGTCTATTAGCTCTAACTTCTTATTGGATAGCACTTACATCTTAATTTAACCCATTTTCAGCATTTTATATTTTACCATGAGGTACATGGGATACCATCAAGGTTCCAGCATCTGTCTCTGGCAGGGCTACATGGCTTCTCCCTCTGACTCTGCCTTCCTTCTACTTTGCTATAGGCCAAGCCAGTTTCTTTATTCATTAACCAATAAAAGCAACACATATACAGAAGGACTTCACAAACCACTTATTTTTTGGTAGGATCTCTGAATTGTCAAGTGTGACTGGACAGGAAGTCCCAGGAATTCAGTTCTCTCTTTTCTTTTGCATTAACATTAAAGTGCTTGTCACCACACCTGCTTATATTTTGTTGTTGTTCTGGATACCAAACACAGGTCCTCCTGGATGCCAGAAAAGCAGGTTACCGACTGAACTACCTCCCCAGCCCAAGAGGTTTTAATTTACTCATTCATTTCTAACAATTATTGCTTTGTAATCAGATTATTACTTATTTTATAACATTTCCCTCAAATTCTATATTTATCATTGTAATAATTTGAATAGTGCTTCCCAAAATGTATGCCTTATCCATGACACCAGAAAATATGACTTTATTTGAAAATTGTATTTTTGAAAATATATTAAGCTAAGCAGATAATATGAGCTCATCCTGGATTCACAGATGGTTCTGAATCATAAAGGAAAAAAATGGAGATATTGGTTACTAACAAAAGATGATTCAAGCGAGATGATTTTCAGATTACCTATGGATTCATAATTTTCTGAATAGATAAGAAGTCCTCTAATAGTCCCTAAGCATAGGGTTATGATTATAGTTAGTAAAAAAAAATTCATGTGATGAGCCTAATCCCTTGTGTAGTTAGTATCTGATGACTGAATGGCAGTTTTCGTTGTGATTATTGCTGTTTTGCTATATATATTGCTTACTATATAGCCTCATCACATCTTTGCAATTAAATTTCTAGTATACCTATTTATTGGCCAAACTACATAATTTGTTATGCTTTAAAATAATTAGCTTTAATAGAATGTGTTTTATAATGATGAAAGAAATACAACAGAAAGGAAGAATTATGAGTAATCTGGAAAAATATTCTGAATAGTATAATTTCTGCTACACACTTCTAAGTAATCACAGATTAAAGAAACATTAAGAAAAATCGGTAAGTATTCTGAGTGAAATTAAATTAAAATACACGGAATATCACTGAAGAAGTTACAGAGATGGAGAAAAAGAAAGGTTTAAACAAAATCACCATCGCGAGGTCGGTGGGGTTTGCAGCTGAGGCTCCCAGATTTGAGCAGGTGCAGGGTGCCAGGGCAGGATGCATACACTGCATTCAGGGTTGTACAAGTACATGTTCCAGAAGGATGAATACTGCATCCTGATCCTGGTCCTAAACAATGCTGGGAAGACAACCTTCTTTGGACAATCAAAAACGTGGTTTAACAAAACCTACAAGGGGATGAATCTATCCAAAATCTACTGTGGGTCTAAACATTGGCACCGTGGACGTGCGGAAGACTTGTCTCATGTTCTGGAACTTAGGTGAGCAAGAAGAGCTACAATCTTTGTGGAACAAGTACTATGCAAAATGCCATGGCATCATCTATGTCATTGATTCCACTGATGGGGAGAGACTTTCAGAATCCAAAGAGGCATTTGAAAAGGTGGTTTTGAGTGAAGCACTGGATGGTATCCTCATCCTGGTGTTGGCCAACAAGCAGAATGTGGAGACCTGCCTCTCCATTCCTGACATCAAGACTACATCAGTGACTGTACTTGCAAGATTGGCCAACAAGTTTGTCTGCCCCCGGCCTGCACTGCTCTCACAGGCAAAGGAGTTTGAAAGTGCATCAAATGGATGGTGAAGTGTGTCATGAGGAAGGTTCACCAGCCACCACGGTAGAGGAGCATCACACAAGCACTGTCAGTTTCAGTCTTGGGACTATTCATCCCTGGTGGTGGAAGAATACTCCCTGCTGGCTGTGTGCCACCAATGCTGGGGTTGAGCTGGCTATGTTTGTTCATTCATTTATTTGCTTTATGTTTTCTCTAAAAAAAAAAACAAGATGCAAGGGTGGAGATGATTTTCATATTACCTGTGGATCCATAAGTTTCTGAATAAATGAGAAGTTCTCTCATAGTCCCTAAACATAGTGTTCTACATATGCTAAGTCTATTGAATGTTGTTACATCTTTTTAATCCAAATAAATGTCACATTATAAACCCTATTTCTGATTAATGATAGAATTATAAGATTTCTAATTTTTATCTCATTTTTAAGAAAATAAGGCAGAAAATTATCATTGCAATTAAGGTTAAAAAGAAAAGTCTTTACATGGCTGTTTCTTCTACATCAGTTGCAGTTTGAAAGTTTCACACTCTTCACTGTCTCATGTGTCTGTAGAGAAACAGGGTTTGGGTATGTGGACCTTGTCTCACTTAGCCTTTCTGCTATGACTTCCTCCTTAAATCATAAAAATACAGCCATATGCATTGTCTCAGATTTTCCAAGCACACTTGATTGGCTGCCCGGTATTGACAAACACAGCCTAAGTTCACCCAAATCCAAATAGAATAGCCATGGACTTTAAAACAGAATGGCCTGTTAGCAGGACTCTCATCAGGGATGCTGGAGGAAATGTTCAGTTGTGATTTCTAACATCCTTTACAAATAACCAAAATCCATATTTCAGTAGTTTAACGTTAAACACGTATTTTTACTTTGCTTATTAATTTTCTTTTTGAGACAGGGTCTTTGTCTGCATAGCCTTGGCTATCCTGGAACTCACTATGTAAACCGACTGTCCTCCAACTCAAAGATCCACCTTCCTATACTTCCTGCCTGCTCGGATTAAAGGCATGTGCCACTACACTCTGCTAAACAAGTATATATATTTTAAATGAGTAGACTGAGTTGCCCTGAGGAGGAGTGTTCTTTTCTGGAGGGAAATGAAGAAGGAGTGGATTTAGGGTAAAGAAGTGGTGTTGGGGGAGGGGAGTAGGAGGAGTGGAGAAAGGGGAAATGTGGTTGGGATATAATATATGAGAGAAGAATGAATAAAAGCAATATATCAATTCACTCATGTCAGGGAAACTATAACCTAAACTTTCTAAACTTAGTTTAGAATTCATAAATTTCAAAGTTTCATAAAAATTTTAAGTCATTTTAGATAATCAGGCTATATGTTATGGCTTGAAAGCATAACACACAGTTATCAAAGGTTCTAAAACATAACATTTCCCTAAAATATTAACTACTTTATTGTTATTCTAAACTAATTCCAGTTAAGGTTGATTTTTATATTAATAATGAGTCTGAATATGTATAATTTAAGTGGCTGTTCTAATTAAGTAGCAAATAATTCCACCTGTGCTAACTAAATAGTGAGTTTGTGTTTTGTCTCATTTTGATGTTATTCACTGACAACCTAATGAGCAACAAATACCTGGATATTCTAGCTCTGTCGCTTAGCAGAAGAAAGAATGTCATAAATACAAAGTTATCTGTCCACTCATTGAAAATCACATATTTTTTCATTACTATGAATTATTATTTAATGAGTAGACTCTCTAATATCTCTCACAATTAACTCCAAATTTGTATCAGTCTATCTCAATATGTGAAACCATATATTATTCAGGTAGACTACCTCAAAGTGCTAAAAAATATCATCAAACACTCACATTACAGTGTTGGTCATGAAATTTGAGAATAAAGTCTATAATATAAACAAAACAGAATATATAAAGCAGCTTCAAGGTTTTATCTTAACCTGTACAATGAACAATAAAATTTTGAGTTAATTGATGACTCCCATCAAATGATCCAAAATACGCAGAAAACATAATATCTTATATCCAATTCTACTCTATGGAAATAAGTTGTAAATGTGATTTCTATATAAATAAGAGTTTTTAAATAGGCACATCATGTAAACTATTGCGAGATCTCTGATATTCCAGACAGTTGGCTTTGTTGTCTACTTCTGTATCTTTTACTTTTGCATTATTTATATTGTCTGTATTCACAATTCATGGTCCTCTTTACCACAAAATATCTTGTATACTCTGATCTCTCTATTGTTCACTCTGACTTTTGCAAACTATCACATCTACTTCACCTGCTCCACACCCAAAATATCTTCAGCTTCCTCCATGGTGCTACAGCCTGCTCTGTCACAAATGGTTTCCAATCTGGGTCAGCTATCCCAGAAAACAGTTCCGTGACAACCTGGATGCCCCTCTCTTGTGGCATGAAGAATACTATTGCTTTAGTCTAGTTACTGCATCTCTGGATCAGAAGGCAGAAAATGTGTCTCATATATTTTCTGTGTCAAGCTCCAAACTGTTATGTACCTACCTAATAAATGATGACAAGTAAGTACATCACAGATGATTCCCTGATCATTTACTGCTCACAAACATAGGCAACAGTACAGATGGGGACCAGATAAAGGAGAAAATCACTCAAGTCATCAAAAACAAATATAATTAATTGAAAAATACCTGTTCTGCTAAACAAAGGAAAAAGGTGATCATCAAAACAGTTTGTGTTGATGATTTTCTAAGAAAATATATATTAGTGAAAATCTTTAAAGTCAACTTTTATCATGAGATAAAATATTATAGTCACATTTTTAACATAAATGAAAATTTAGTTTTAAAAAAGTTTTGTAATGAATACAAAGATCCAAGAAATATTTCAAGATCATTTGACCCACTTTTGGAATTTATCTCTCCACAAAGGAGAAAAGCAGATAAAGGGTCAGGTTCTATGTTCAACCCAGGGCTCAATGCTGATCTCCAAATACATCTACCCCACTGACAATAACAACTGACTACGTCATTTGAGAATCATTTGAATTCAACACGCTTAAAATTAAACCTGTTCCTCCCTTGAAAGTTAGATCTAATATCAAGCAGGGACACAGGGATTTTTGTTGCCAGAATTCAATTGTTTACACGATAAACCTGGGGACTGACTTTAAATCCCACTTTATTTGGTTCATCAATTAAACACGAAGCTCTTCCCACTTTGCTGATTCCAATTACTTGTTTCTCTCTTTTCTTCTGCTTCTTTAGCTCAGGGATCTAGCGTGCATACCTCATTTGAAATGCTTCAACAGCCTCTGCTCTTAGCCAACCGGTTTTGCATAATACAAAGACTGTTCTAAAGCAGATTTTCTTATCTTGTTACTTTCTTGAGCAAAACCACTTTGGTGTTTATGCTACTACTGCTCATTATCATTGCTTTTTAATTTGGCTTAAAATGACAAAAAAGGCAAATATCATATGTACTCACTCATAAATGACTGTTAGACATAAAGCAAAAAAAAAAAAACAGACTACAAAGCACAATTCCAGAGAACCTAGGTAACAGTGAGGACCCTAAGAGAGACATACGTAGATCTAATATACACAGAAAGTAGCAAAAGACAAGATCTCCTGAGTAAATTGGAAGCATGGGAAGCATGGGAGAGGGTAGAGGTGGAGGGGAAAAGAATGGAGGGGAGTAGAGAGAAATATATAACAAACAATAAAAAAAATCAGTTCAAAAACTTACAATTGAGAGGAAAATGGATTTGCAAATTTTGAAACCAATATTCTTTGTAAGCAAATTTTTTTATCAATATCAATAAAGTAAATTCTTTGTTTTTTTTTTAAAAAAAAGAACAGTAATGTCTACAGGAAGTTTCCATACCTCTCAGGCTACATGCTCATTTGTTTCTCAGGATCTGTGTTTTTCTATTTAATGGACCTGTGTAGTAAGAAGTTTATGTCCACCCCAGTCATACAGCTGTTCTGTTCCAAAGAAACACACAGAGGCTTATATTAATTATAAACTGTTTGGTCTATTAACTCAGTATTATTATTAACTAGCTCTTACAACTTAAATGAACCCATAATTTTTGACTATGTTTAGCCACATGGCTTAGTACTTTTTTGCAGTAAGGCATTCTCATCTTGCTTCTTCTGCATCTGGCTGGTGACTGACTCTCTGCCTTTCCTCTTCCCAGAATTCTTAGTCTGGTTTCCCTACCTTTACTTCCTACCTATACATCTAATTGCTTTCTTTGCTGGTGTTGCTTTGTTTGTTAGATCTTAACAGACAAATGCAAAATATCTCCTTTTTTTCCAAGTGCAATAATGTAAACATTATTTTATTAATAGTAAAGTAACTTTCTAGCATATTTGGCCTCATCAAAGTCAACATTATTACTAACTATTAATGAACACATTTTTAATATTCAGCAAACTGAATAAAGGGAATAGTTGTATACCATATAAAATGTAATCATGAGAGAATTATGTATATATTCATGTATATATGTGTCTATATACATCAGATGCATATACATACAAATACATATATGTATATAAAGGGATAAATATGGGTAAGTAGTCATATAGTTATCAGATTGACAATAACTGCTGCGGGAGTACCTTCCGCTGCTTCAGCCAATAGTCGCTGAAATACCAGCCCACTGGGGCGTGGTATATTTCTCTTTAAAAGAAGAGCGGCAAGCTCAGCTCGGCCTCTTGGTTCTGGCGCTTGGTTCTGGCTCCTGCTCCAGCAACTAGGCTCCCTTCCTGACGGTTTATGGTGTATGTAAGTTTTACCCCAAAAAATAAATAACCCCTTAAAACATAACTGGTGTGGGATTGATTCACCATTAAATAACAATAATAATAATAGTGATGACAGTAGATCGTGGCAACTAAACAGAAAATGAGCTGGTGTTTGTCATGGCAAATCTTCTCTTACCATTAGATTAAGTACTTTAGCTATGTATATAAAAATAAATATCCTATTTGGATCAGCATGCTAAATTTTGCAAATGAATCATATAGTTATTAAAGCTC